ACTACTACTACGACTACGACTACGATTACCACTACTACTACTACTACTACTACTACTACTACTACCACTACTGCTGCTGCTGCTGCTGCTGCTGCTGCTGCTGCTGCTGCTGCTGCTGCTGCTACTACCACGACTAAAACTACTGCTCCTGCTGCAGCTACTACTACTACTACTACTACTACTACTACTACTACTTCTACTACTACTACTACTACTACTACTACTACTAGTGTTACTACTGCTCCTACTACTACTACGTTACTACTACTACTACTACTACTACTACTACTACTACTACTACTACTACTACTACTACTACTACTTCTGCTACCACCGCAGCAACAGCAACAACAACAACAACTACTACTAGTACTACTACTACTACTACTACTACTACTACTACTACTACTGCTATTGCTATTGCTATTGCTATTGCTACTGCTACTACTGCTGCTACAGCTACTGCTACGGCTACGGCTGCGGCTACAGCTACCGCTACTGCTACCGGCAAGTGTAGTTACAAAACAAGGGGAATAAAATCGTAATGATGCTGGTGCCTAAACTAACAAAACATCTTGAAAAGCTCCGTTACGGCTGCTACTACTACTACTACTGCTGCTGCTGCTGCTGCTGCTGCTACTACTACTACTACTGCTACTACTACTACTACTACTACTACTACTACTACTACTACTAACTACGACTACGGCTACGGCTGCGACTACGACTACCTTCGGCTACTACTATCTTTGTTGCTCGTTGAATATTAAGTACAACCACAACTACTATTACTGCTACAACGACGATGAGGATCCGGACGACAACTACTACGACACCACCGCAGATGTCGACGTTCCTGCCTGCTGCTGAAACTCCATTTGAGCACCTCGACATGGCAAGAGCAGCCTATCAAAATCTCTCAACTGAACTTCTTCCGCTCCGCGGTCCACCCTGCAGTATGTCAAGAAGAAGGACAGTTGGGGGATTTGGGGGCTCACTACATCCGGCTGCACTCTTGCGAAAACATGTACAGCTTGTTGGGCTCAAGCCGGCATGCGTGCCGGCTGGAAGCAAAAACCATGACTTTCGGCTTGTTCTCTCTCGAACTGAGACAACCTCACGTAATCCGAGAAAGATACAAGTACTAAGCATGAGGAAAGTATTAGTATTAGTATTAGTATTAATATTAGTATCAGCATTAGTATTAGTAT